CTTCGCTGCAGTCGAAGGTAGATGTTCCCAAATTATCGTTAGTCTAGCTTTCTACTTTTGAACTTGAGACTCACACACCCATACACTCACTGAAGGATGGTGTCTGATGCAGGCTGTAAAATCCATCTGCGATCCTGGGTGCATACTCAAACAGCTAGCCTACGCCAAGTTCAATGCTGCCATGGCTACATCTAACCAGTACCCAAGCCGAGTTTAAATCCAGATCCCTGGTGCCCACATGGCTGTAATTTCATTGAGGCGTAGGCATCCCCTGGGTACTGACCACCTGCAGAGGTAAGCCCCAGGAGGGAGGAATCGTCCTTCTTTCTGAGATTCGGGATCAGCAGAATTGGTCACAGTTAAGGACATCAGCTGCGATTCAGGAGATATGAGAAAGAGCCTGAGCCCAAGACTGGTGATCAGTCCTGCTGCGTGGAATATGGGTGGAATTGGACCAGAAGAAGCTAAAGGTAAGAACAGAGAAACATCAATTCTCCAAGTAGCAAATGGTTTGCCACACTGAGTAGTAAACAGGAAAGCAACGCACTCTCTGCATCCACAATGCTTATTCTTAAAGAAAGTTGAATTTGAGACCACTAATCCTCGTAGTCCTGGATTTTGAGGCCAGCGGTATCTTCTGTCAGTAGCCTTCTACTGTGTAGCTGCTTTTAAAATGGAAGGGTAATTACCTAGCGTAAAAACTAGTTTCAGCATACTTACTGTGTTTTGCAAGCCTTTATATGGCAATCAGCCATGCTGACTCGTTTTTCCTTTCTGATCTACAAAAGTTGAATTTGAAGGCTTCTGTTACTTCAGATGGCTTTACAAAGCAACTTTTTGTCTGCTGTGTGTGTTCAGAGACTGAGATGCATTTCATCAAAAGGTTAAAACACTTCCTTCCTAACGCACCAGGCTTCGCACTGGGCAGTGGCTGTTGTCTGATGGAAGAGGTTGCCGTATTTCCCTGATAATATACACAGACAATCTGGGCAACACATTGGTATGGAAGATACCACGTACATGTAAAATACTTTACAACGTGTTCATATTTATATGACCGCTGAATTACCATTCTGTAACGCTGCCAGAATATCAATCACATCACAAATTCTCAGCATGGTCACAGGCTTTAAGAACACAGGCCAACAAACAGGCCATTTATCCTGGCACATAATTTCAGCCATTTCTAACCATCTATCAGTCCCGAGCATCTTGTCAAGTTAGATGGAGCTTACAGCACATGTAGTTTGAAGGGCCCTGGAGAATGAAAAAAGTCAAAGCAGAAACTGGAATAACGCTCAGAGCCTCTGGCCTTCAAAATATTAGCAGATATTGATACAGAAGCAGGATAGATTTCTTTATTTTGTCTTGGCAGGAAGACAGTGTCAGAGAAGAAAGTTCTGTGCTCTGCAGAAGAGCCCACGGAAAGCAACTTGAACAAGGTCTGAAGCGGAACGGCTGACTCCTGCCCATCAGTCGCGCACTCGCTCCTCGAAGGGAAGTCTTCTCGGTCACAGAAGCACTAAAGGTCATTTGCACCAACAGGCCTTCAGAGCGTAAAAGCTTGAGGGCTCCTGCAGACTGCAGGTCTCTCCAAGCTTAACTGGCAGGTGGTGGCGTGCCACCCTCATCCTGCAAAAAAAAAAAAAAAAAAAAAAACAGGGTGCAGTGTTTCAGGCACGGGGCCATGGTGCAGGATAAATGGGGGGGGGTGGGGCGCAGCATGAAAAAAAGGAGAACTGGCATGTTTTTTGCTCTGAAAATTTCTGGTTTTGGAAACAGAAGACATTTTTTTAAATCTGCAAAGATAATAAATAGCTCTTCTTCTTCCACAGCCTCCCCTCGCTCGCAGAACCTGCGTGCATCCCTCTGGTAAGGAAAGCGTAAGCGCCAGGGGTAGGATGGCCTTCTCCTTCACGTAGACAAACACACAGGCTTGTTCTCCTTCTTCTTTGCAGGCACCAGAGTCTCATTTCTCATTTCCTTCTTTGCTACTTTCCCCCTGCGATATCTCCCTGCCCTCCCCCCCCCCCCCCCCACGCATGAGCCGCCGGCTGTGAGCTGAGCCCCCACCCGTGCCTTTCCCACCCGCCTGGGGGTCACCGCCTTCCTCACCTGTGCCCCCCACAACACCTCCTGCTTGCGCATCGGGGAGGGAGCAGCCAGATGTGCCACGTTCCTGCCCCTGGGGACCGTGCAGAGGGCAAACATCTGCCCACGGGCAGCTGGTTTGGAGCCGCAGGCAGCTGCTTGAATTTGGACTCCAGCCTTAGGCAAGTGAGTGCCATTTGGTGTCAGGGCTGCATCGAAGTGCTGTGGTGGGTTTAAGCTATTATCCGTACAAGCTACGATAATCACCCTTGATTAGCCTCGGTATTACAAAAAATTAGCTTTGCTGTGAATGAAAAACTGAGCTACGGAGTAAATGGATGCTCTGAAACCAAATCCAGATGTTACTTTTGCCACAGACAAATCCAGGTTATGGCCCCCAGTATCTGGATTGTCTGAAAAACGAAGGAGTTTGTGAGCAGAGTCCCGTCCCCCGGCACGTACATACTGCTGTTCAGAAAGTAGCTGTGGTCATTTTGACGACGTCTCCAAATATAAAATTTCACTGGCAACACTTCATAAATGCTGTTTGGACCTAATTAGCTTGGAGTCTTGGAGTTTTGGACTACTACATACCTCAAAATGAAAGGTGTTATTTTGCCTTTAATAAGCAATGTACTCTTGGAGGCATACTGGAATTCTTTTAAAAGTACAGTATGCTTCCTCATTATGGAAATGGCCACAGATCCACAGATTATTTTCTGACCTTTAAGCTACATGTCAAGAGTTAGCTCAAAACCAACCAAACAGACAAACAAAAAAAAAAGTTAGCAAACAAATAAAGTTTGTTGTTTGTTTTTTTTTTTTTTTTCTCGGTTATTAACACTTTTCTCTCTGAACTGTATAAATTAACATAAGAGGTACGTAATGGAGGATTTTTTAACGTGATGATTAACCTTGTACTAGGCAAGTCATTATCTGAGGAGCAACTTCCATGTCACTGAAAGGTAGACAACGAAATCTCCTAGTGGGAACTTTTGGATGGTGTCAGCCAAAGAAGTTCTGAAAGTCCTGTGGAAAAAGCTGACCAACTGACAACTTGAAGCTGTGTCCCAGATGTCCAGATGAATGACCCAGGGCTGCAAGTTTCTGCGGAAAATGCTATGGCCCCTCTGAAGTGAGGAGAAGATTGCAGCCACTGGTCCGAAACAGAAAAAGCTGTATTTATTGACAGTGTTAGTGGTATAGGACCTTCCGCTCCTCCTTCCCACCAAACCCAGAGATCTCAGCCTCTTACTCTGCCTGATGCCTTGTAACCAGCGGAGGCCAACGGGTGCCTGATCAGCTGGGAAAAATCCTCTGAGAATGAGGCAAAAAAAGTGACATTCATGCCTTGATGACTGCCTTGCTAGGTAAACTGCTCTGTTCATGCTTTCTGTTCGATCTTCATCACCTTACGGATGATGCAGCTACAGATGTAGCCACCACTTCTTTTGCTTCTGGGGGTCTTTTTTTTTCCACTGTGGTAATACGCACAAATGTCTCAGCCTTACGCCAATTATCCATCATAAAGGATTATTATTGCTCGAGGTTGTACCTGGAGAATTAGCATGCTAGCACACAAAATGGCTGACTCATTTTTATTTCCTGCAGGAAGAGAGCAACACTGCTTCATTTCTGTGGCCGCTTCCCCATTACTTCCATATTCAGTTGAAGAGATTAACCACAATCCATAAAGCTCTTTACCATTTGGGCCCTGCTTGTTTTCGCGAGGCAGGACGGGCTGCAGTCAAGGGCACTGAGGTTCAATTTGGGACCCTGGGCTGCCGCGGCTCGGTCCTGTTGGGACACCATTCACAAAAGGAGAGTGAAACTCCGAGAGGGGTGCCCCTCCAGCTGTACAGTGACTTCAGAGGCACCCTGGTTTAATCTGGGCTATACTGTACAGAGGCCTATGTATGTTATTATAGCAAAGGCCAAGACTTTCCCCGTTTACGCTCTCTCCTGATGCTTTTGCGAGACGGGAAAACATACAAACTAGCGTGCTTGGCCCCTCAGTGCCACCGGGTTGTGGGTGACGGCCGGTCTTTTCCCTTTTTTAATTTTTTTTTTTTTTTTTTTTTTTCAAATAGCACTCGATCCAGAAAAGTTTTCCACTTCCCTCTGGCCGAGCGTGGGTCAGCCAGCCTTCGCAGCGCCCCACCGGCGGCGCGGTGGGGACGTGCGTTTTGGGGAGAGCTGGCAGGCGTCGCGGGTTCGTGTGGGCTGGGTGGGAGGGAGAAGCCGCGGCCCCGCCGCTGTCCGCGGACCCGCGCGGCTTTTCTGCACCGTCACAAAACTTCTCCGCGGCGGTGCGTGTCCGGCGTGGGGGCTCCGGTCACGGGACGCGCGAGCCCCCGCGCCGTGCGGCAGCGGCCCCAGGGTGGGGACCCCCTGCCCCGCCACAGCCCCCACGTCCACCGAATCTGCGGGAACCGCGCGCCTCGGTGATGACGCGGTGAAACGTGTCGCGGCACCGGGTTTCCGCGGGGGGCTCCGCGGGGCGGCGGGGCTGCCGCCTCCCGCACGGGGCCGGGCCTCCCGCCGCCATCCCGTCCCATCCCGTCCCCGCGGGGCCCGTCCCGGCGGGCATCCCGCTTCGCGCTCCGGTCACCGACACCCGGGCCGGGGGGGCGCTCCCCCCCGACCCCCCTCAAAGGGGCGGGGCGGGGGCGCTTTGCCCCTCCCCCTCCCCCTTCTCCGCGGGGCGGTGGGCGTGGCCGGGCCGCTCGCGGGCGCCCGCCGGGTTTCCAAGTGTTGCGCACCCTTCGGAGCCCTGCGCTGATTGGCGGGGGCCTCGCCAGTGACATCAGCCGGCTCACTTTCCATTGGCCGGCCGGTTGCTGGGACCGTAGGCCTTCCAGGGAGGCATTTAACCCGCTCGGCGCCGCGGGGCCCCGGCCGCCCCGGGCTGCCCTCCCCGCGCCGAACCGGCGGCCGGGGGCAACACCGCCCCGGCTGGGGAGGGGACGCTGCCGGCGACCGGGAAGGAGCCGCGGCGCGGCGCGCCGTCTCTCCCCCCGCCCCCCCCACCTCCCCTCCGGGCGACAGAGCGGCGTGTCCCTTTTAAGCGGGGCGCGGCGGGGCGCCCGGAGTAGCACGCGGCCTGGGGAGGGAGCGCGGAGATTGGCGAGGCGGCCGCCCGGTGGACACACCCCCCCTTGGAAAAGGGGCGCCGTGAGTGGCGGGGGGAGAAGGTAAACAGAGCCGGCCAGCCCTGCCCGCCGGCCAATCGGGGGGGCGGCTCCGCGCCTGACGCGATGGGGCTCGGCGCGGCCGTCGGCGGGCGGGCGCGCGCGGGCGGCGGGGGGCGCGGCGGGCCGTCTCCTCTCCCCCAACCCCCGCGCCGGACCCTGCCCGCGCGCGCGGGCGGCGGGCGGCGCTCCCCCCCTTCCAGCACCCTCCCCTCCAGCACCCCCCCCACCCCGGCGGCGCGCCGCCCCCGGGGGGGCGCGGTGAGGGCCCTGCCCGGCGCCCCGCTATTTATCCTTCCCCCCCTCCTCTTCCCCGCGCCGCAGAGACCCCGCGCCGCGGGCGGGCCATGGCTGGCGGCGGCGCGGCCGGCCCGGCGGGCGCGCACTGAAGGGCGCCCGGGAGCCCCGCCGCTGTCGTCGTCGTCTGTGTCGTCGTCTGTGTCGTCGTCGTCGTCGTCGGGGCGCGGCCGCACCATGTCGGCCGTCGCCTACGTGGACTTCGTGGCGGCGCAGTGCCTGGTCTCCATCTCCAACCGCTCCGCCGTGCCCGAGGCGGCGCGGCTGAAGGTGCCGGGCGAGGGGGAGACGGCCCGGGAGCTGCGCGACCCCCGCGACGCCTGGAAGGACTACTGCGCCCTGCTGGCCATCGCCAAGAGCCTGCTGGAGCTGAACAAGTACCGGCCGCTGCCCGCCCCCTCCGTCTGCAGCGACAGCGTGGAGAGCCCCGACGAGGACGCGGGCTCCGACAGCGACGCGGCCACCGAGCCGGGCTCCCGCCCGCCCCGCAGCCCGCCGCCGGGGCCGCCCCCCCGCCTGCGCGCCGCCGGGGCCGCCCCCAAGGGGAAGCTGGCGGCCGAGAAGCGGCACAAGTGCCCCTACAGCGGCTGCGGCAAGGTCTACGGCAAGTCCTCCCACCTGAAGGCGCACTACCGTGTGCACACAGGTCAGCGGCGGCGGGAGGGGGGGACGGAGGGAGGGAGGGAGGGAGGGAGGGAGCGCTTGTCCTCGGGTGAACCCGGCCGGCGGCGCGCCCGGCGTCCCCGCGCGCCCCCGCCGCCCTGCCTTTCCGCTCTGGCATCGGATGTTTTTTTTTTTTCTTGTCTCTCCTTTCTTTTTTTTTTTTTTTTTTTTTTTTTTTTTTTCTTTTCCCCTTCCCTTCCCCGCCCTCCGCATTTTCCTCCCCCCCCCGCCCCCCCGCCTCCTTTCTTCCCTTCCTTTCCCTCCCCGCCGCGGTGCCGGACCGGAGCCCCGGGTCCGGCGGGAGCGGGCGGCCGCCCCGGGCGGGGCTGCGGCAGCTCCTCCCGCCGCGCCCTGCCCGCTGCCCCGGGAGCCGCCCGCCCTGGCCGGGAGCCCGCCCGCCCCCCGTGGGCAGCCGCCGGGGAGCCGCGTAAACTTCGCGTGGACGGGGCGGCCTCGCGGGGGGGACACCGATCCGGCTCGGTGGCGGCGGCAATCGTGTTGCCCTCTGGCGTGGGCGCGTATTCCCCACCCACACAAGCCCGGGGCTGGACGGTCCCCAGCGCGTCGCGCCGCGGACGGGCGTGGGGCTGCCCGCGCCCCGCCGTCGGACCCCGCGTTTCGCTCCCCCGCTGCGCCGCCCGCCCTCGCAGAGCCGCCCGTGGACTTTGCGTGGCGGCGGGGGAGCTGTGCGCCCCGCGGCCGGGGTGCCGCAGCCGGGGGGTTCCTTGCACCGAGGGGAGATGTACCCGCGGGTTTCGTGGGCACACCCCCTCTCCGGCAGCCGAAGGACCCAGCGACCTGGTGGGGAAGACCTGAGAAACACCTCTCCTAAAAACCGGTTCCAGCCCCGCGGAGTCCGGGCAGCGGGCCGCCCCCGGATTAAGCCCTAGACCCTCGGCGCGGCTCCCTCCGGCCGAGAAAATTTGGGCGCCGGCCTCCACTCTGCCCAGCTGACCCCCACGCGGTACCGGTTATTGCGACCCATCTGTGGCGTGTCCCGCACGGGCTTCGTGTGCCCGTGGGGAGGGAGGGTGTGGCCACATGGAAACAAACCTAGAGATAAAAAAAAAAATCTGCTGCAGCAATTTGTACTTCCTCCGTCTCTGCCTAAGCGCTGGGGGGACAGCATTTGACTTTTCTGGTTTTCTGTTATTTTGCTGTTGTGTTGTTCGGGTTTTGTTTTGTTTTGTTTTGTTATTTTTTTTTTTTTAAGTGCAAGTGGCTGAATAGAAAAACATTTACGTGTCTGAATTGCAGTTGGGGTCACAGTGCAATGCACAAGGCTGCTTAAAAATTGCTCTAAATTAAAGGTTTGTGTGTGCGTGTGGAAAGGAGCGGATCAAAGGAGGCAAACGCTGCCAGCGCTTATTTCACGTGCTTCACGTCTGCTCTGTAGATGGCGGTTCTTTTCTGGATTTTGGCTGTTGGCAGCGAGGGTAAGTGGTGAAGTACAAAATGAGCTCATTGCCCGAGGAAGGTACAGTGAGGCATTGCTGTAGTATTTGACACTGCCTGGGCAGGGCATGGCCACATCTGAGCTCCAGCCAAGCTCCCGTTGCTCCGGCTTGCTGGTGTGCCTAGGTGTATGTACGTGCACGGAGGAGGAGGAGAGCTGGTGCTGGCTGCCTACCTGTGCCTGGCTGGCAGATCTTCTGGGGGCTTAGCTCGAGAGATCAGGGGACAGGAGGAGGAGGAGGAGGAGGAGGGCTACTGGAGAGCTCAGGGGTGAGCTCTGAGGTCAGATGGTTAAGACTGTCCCCGAGAGCCAGGAGAGAGGATGGTCAGTGGTGACCCTGTACTGATCTCAGGATGGGTGCCAGGGATTGTTGTGTCTGAAAGACTGCAGCTCTGTTGCTCTTTTGGAGGCTGAATGTAACCGATGCCTTGCAAAATGTTGGCTCATAAGTGACGAAGAAAATGCCTTAGCATCATTTCCACTTACTACCCCATGCTCAAATATCCACCCCAATACAGGAACCGAAATAGGCATCAACTGGGATAGCATTCTGGGTGATGACATGTAAATTAATGTACTTACTGTACAAGCCACGTGGCTTGCTGTAAGCAGTAGTGTTATAATAAGTATCTCCTGAAGTGGCATGAGGTTTCTCATGTGCTGCTCACAAGTGGGTGTCCTTAGCTCCAAGAATGAGGTGTTTGACTCAGATGCAGTGATGTACCATCACGGTAGTTCTGTGTGATTAAAACCACTACAGACATCCAGCAGTAATGAACTTTCAGAGCTTCCTAATGTGAACAGTTAATTGTAGCTAACTGAAATGCTAAACGATACTGCTAATGTTAATTATTTTTATAGATGGCAGAACAATTCCTTAGCAACAGTGGGATTCAATGGGACCTCTGGAGTTATTCATAACTGCGTATTGCAGAGCATTAATGCTCCCTCCCCGGTGCCATTTTCTTTCCTTTTTTTTTTTTTCTTCCAAATAATTTCTCTCTCATGTATCTGAGCCTCTTGAATTGCTTTCGTCTACCTGCTGTTTTTCATTGGGCCACCAAGTGAGTTTCTTACTGCTGTGTATCCTTTAGTGGAAGTAGGTACGCAGCCACCAGTAGAAGCTTCCTGGTCTTAAATTTTTAATATTTAATCCTAGTCTCTCTATCTTGGAAAATGGCTTTAGGATTTCTGTTCACACCCGTGAGCTTGAAGTTGGAAAGCTATGGACACTGCTCCGTGCTGTGTAATGGTAGGAATCTAAAAACTCACCAGGTTGTCACTGGTAAGCTAGTGGAAAGCAGGAAATGAACGACCACATAAAGGTAGAAGACCGAAGACTTGATGCTCGGAGGTTAGAGTCTGTATCTTATTAATGATTCTTTGAACCTATTGGTTCAACGGCATTCCATATTTCAGAGCATAATAATATCTGTATAACGGCTTGAAGTTGGGCCTTTGGTGACTGTAGATCAATTTCCAGAAGATCCAAATTAGCCATCGATCAGAAATTGTCTCCTGTGCTGATCTTAACAGGAAAAGGTCAGTGGATGGCACTGCACATCCTAGTTGTGCTAACAGCCCCTTTGCTTGTGCTGCCAACTCCACTGAATTCAGCCTGGCTTAGTAGAGCAGGATTTGTAGGAAGCCAAGGAAGTCTGGACTCTACCCCTTCCAGGGGGGATAGTCCTTTCATTCCTTGCCAGGCTCCTGGTGTTTCTGCGATACGATCAGGCACTTTTTTGTTCTGTCATGTGTGTGTACCTTACATTCAAAACGTACTAACCTGCAAAGTCCCGGGATACAAGGACAAGCATATAGCTGAAGCTGAGCTATTGCCTGCCCTGTCTCTTCAGTACCGTCCAAAAATAACTTGGAATTTATTATTTAAGTTCTGGTGTCTTGAGCAGGAAGAGCGTTACAGGTATGGCTGTTCTGTGTAAGCTGTTTCCAGTAACATCTCTGAGGTACACGGTGCTTGGTGTCGGAGAGAAAAGACAGTACTATCCCCAGTGGCTCGCAAGCCAAAAGGCTGTTCGTTTGGAAGGCATGTGGCGGGATAGCTCTACAATGTGACCATTCCTCAGGTTTCCCTGTCCTGTATGGGGTGGTGTTATGGGAGTATAGGACACATCAACTCTGCTGAAGTTTGGCGGTGGCAGAAGGGATTACGAGTGCTCTGTCTGCTTGGGAGTCTTGAGCACTGAGGTGGCACGACTGGGTCTCGCAGACCTTCCCTTCACAGCACAGAAGGAGGCCCGGAGGCACTGGCAAGACGTGCACGAGACCTGAGCCCTGGCAGCAGCGCAAGGGTCAGGAGAAGGTGAGGGACCCGGCTGACCAAGAAAAGGACAAGTAACAGCAGATATGCAGAAAGTTACCTTGAAAATACACACACTTCTCTAAATAGGGGTTTGATTTTGGCCAGTAATGTGTAGGGTTATTATTAGCCTCAAAATGAAGGAGGTGGGGGAGGGTGGGCAGCTTAATCAGATAGAGATGTGCTGGCCAGAGGGTTTCCAGGGAAGTAAAGGCGTACGAGAGTAAACAATAACCTCAGTCAGAAGGCTCGGGCAGAGAGCGCAGAGCAAAGGGCAAGATACCAACAGGGAGGGAAACTGGCAGGAGGAAAAAAACTTCAAGGAATGTACATTTGTTATGATGGTGTGAATACAAGCCAGTTAAAGGGCATGTGGCTGCTGAGAGCAGATCCTCCTGCTGAGGAAAGGGGGATAGAGAAGGTGCCATAAAGCTGCCTTGGGAGATGCTGCCTCACACAAGACCTGCAGTTTACTTGCTTGTGGAGCCAAATCCCAAATGCTTCTCAATACGTGGTGCTGGTGCTGCGGAGGTTCACATCTGCACTGCATACCTTTAATTAAGAGGTTAGACACACTAAAACCCTCTTCAGCTAGGCGTTTCAGCCAACTGCATCATCGTGTAGAACAGCTCCAAACAATGACAGCAGTTTTGTTACATCGGGCAGCTGATGCACCCTTGAGCTCTCCTGGCCCTTGGGTTTCACCGATGTTGTTTCGGTAGCAGGGCTGCAGGCAGGGGCATGGAGCTGCAGGTCAGCAGCTCATGTGGTGAAGCTGAGGAGCATTTCTGGTAGAAAGGAAAGGTAAGCACTGCAGCTGCCTAGTGCTGCGATCTAGATATCACTGCATCGATCCTGCCCCTGTATCAGTTTTGTTTTGACTGTGCTGCTTTGTTATTTGTGTTCGAGATTATCACTAACTCAACAGACTGTACAGATGCTGGTATGTTGACAATACTCTGCTCTCTGGGAGCTTTTCTGGGTATTTTGTGGGAGCATAATCTGAAATTTAGCATTTTAAGCCCCTCTTTGCCAGATACTTTAGAATAAAACTGAAGAGCAGAAAGTGGAGCCAGCAGAACCTTTTTTGCTAAATTCACACCTCCGTCTGAAACACCCATTCTCGAGGGTTAATGCAAATGTGCAAATTGCTGGAGTTCTAATGGGCATGTTTCCAGGTCTTGGAGAAACATGATCATACTGACTG